TGGGCATATACTAGCACCAGACCAGTGGCTGAGCCATTTTCTCACAATGCGTTGCAGTGAGGGAGGTCTGGATGAACAAACAGCAAAGCTTTTTAAATGGGAGCACACCTTTTGTGTATTTGGCACTGAACTCTGTTCAGGTTTCCTTCATTTCAGACAAAAAGATGTGGGAGTGGGAAAAGATGTGAACAGCCTATTTGTGATTGATTTGATCTTTTGACTGAACTACCAAAGTATGGGATTCAGGATGATCTAAGCTAAAAATATTGCTGTGGTTTCTGCTGTTTCTTGCTAGTCATGGACAGAAAAATATTTCTGTGGCTGCTTGACATTCTGGACAGACTGTTGATGTAGGTGTTAACAAAAATGGATAAATTGTGTAATACAGCTAAATGATTCCTTCACAATGTGTCTTTATTACTAGGGAGCAAGGACAACACCTGTAGAATATGGCACTGACTGAAGAGAAGGAAAGATCCAGTTTGGTGTATGCCTACTGTGTGAGTTTTATAGCCAATAAACTCAGTTGTTCAGATCTGTTTTATTTTACCCTCTTTGCTTGCCTTCAGCTTTGCGGAAGTAAAGTTACCTAGATTTTGGTAGGTTTGACTTTGCTGTTGTCTGGTAGATATGGAATCACAGAATAGTAGAAGTTGGAAGGGACCTCTGGAGATTGTCTAGTTGCAACATGTGTGCTCAAAGCACTGTCATCTAAGCGGCCTGCCCAGGACTGACATGATTTTGAATATCTCCAAGGGCAGAGACTCCACAGTTTATCTGGGCAACTTGCTCAGTGTTTGACCACTCTTACAATAAAAAAAAGTGGGTTTTTTTATTTCCTTATGTTTAAATGGAATGTTTTCTTGTATTCCAATTTGTGTATGTTGCTTCTTCACTGGGTACCACCGAGAAGAGTCTATCTCTGTTACCTCAGTCACCTGAGAGAAATCATGATTAGTGTGAATGAATCCAGTCAAATGGCCCCATTTCATTGTGTGTCATTTTTAACTTGTAACCCTTTTAATAAAAAAATACTCACAGGTGTGAAAGGGATGTTGTTATATGCTTGCTCTGAGTACTTTTCTATTAATTTTTTTGTTGTGTAATAAAATATTGAGTTAAAATTCCAGTTTCGCTACTTATAATACAATGTCCCACTTGGTATTTCTGGAGAAAACCAGCAACCATTCATGAACTACATTGCTATTAACTATTGCGTGCATGCTGCTCTTAAGTTCCCACTCACCCTCCATTCATACTTGCCCACATCTTTCCTTTCCTTTCTGCTCAGCCCTCATTCTCCCGTTTTCACCTGAGGTAAAAAAATAATACGGGTGGTGGCTCCAGCTCTGAATCCTGGCCCAAAGATTATGGTCAGCCTGAAGAAACTTCACACCCTAAAGATTTGGAGCTAAGGATCACGACATAAACTGAGAAGTGGATGAGGAATTCCTGCAAGTTATTAACCCCTGTACTATGAGCTCTCACCAGCAATTGCCAACAGGTTTCACCTGTGCAGAGCTCGCCCCACTTCCTGGCAGAGCACCTGAAACTGCCGTTGCTCTTTGCAGGGGAGTAGCAAAGGAGCAGAGCTGACTGGTCTTTTCCAGCAGCTTTGGAAGAAGAGGCAGAGAGAGTAGGATTGAACAAAGTATGTGTGTTGACCAAGAGGAAAAAAAGCAAGAAAGGAAGCATACAGCAGAGAATGAACCTTGGAGGTATTTTGTTTATATTGTATATTTTTAGGTGGTTATGGATGTGACTTCTAAATGTTGTTAAATTTAATAGGAAGTTAATAATTTTGATGTGTTCTGACTATCTCTGAGTGCTTGCCAGCATCCTTGGGTGTAAATGAAGAAACAAAAGTGCCTGTTATGACTTGGCAAATTCCGGGTTGTTTAAAGTAGGAGCGTGTTGTGGAAGAACTAAGGATTGTGCTGCAGATCATTAAAAAATAAACCTTTATCCGTAGGCACAGTAGCTGATATTAATGGTACTGTAATGCTTGTGATATTTCCTGTTATCTTGTGCAAAGATTTATGATATCAAAAGTGTATCCCAGTAATCTGGAATTGAAAAGGGCAAGAAGGGCAAGGCAGTTTTGTGTTACTTTAGAATTTCCCAGTGTCCCTAGATCACTTTGCACCTGTACTTACAGGTGTGACATATGGGATTTCAGTCTGACAAAAATGGAGGAAAATTAGTGTAATGAAATGTGTACAAATACTGCTACAAGGCTAAAACTGAAATTTGACTTGCTGTGTAACCATCACAAAGTAAAAAAGTTCTCTGGACTGTGATTAGGAAGTAGATTTTCTTTTTTTTTTTATTATTTTTTGCTTAATCTTTCAGGTTGGGTTATTTTCTGTTGTCTTCTCCCTTATGATTTTTCTCTTTTACTATGCTAGTGATTCAGTGAATCAAACATCTATAGTAGCTTTTGCCTTCAAGCTCTTGTCCCATTTTTATGTGAAATTGTGAGTTGAGGTTTCATAGACTAAGCATTGGACTGGGCGGCCATCTGGGCTCTATTTCTGACTCTCCCTAGATTCACTGAGTGAGTGGAATTGCTTTTCAGGCTAAGTTATCCAGGTTTCCTGCTCAAATGTAAAGTACTTTTACATCTGGTGTGATTCACAGCACTGCAGAAAAGGGTGCTGACTTGGCACCTGATAAGAGCTTCAGTAGTACTCTAGGTACCATCATATGAATGCTTTGATGTTAGGCTCTATGCACCTTGGTTTACCAATATGCAGTTCTAATAAATTACAGAGATATATATTAGGAGTGCATTATATAGATGTGTTATCCTGAAACCATTCTGTGTCTCTGATATCAGCTTAATCCCTTTCTATAATTCCACTTAAGTCCATCAGCTAAAACAGTGTATTTGTGTGCTCTAACTATTGTCTGGTGCCTTTTTAATCTTATAAAAACATTTGAATTCTGCATACCTTACACTCTCCAAGCTACTACTTTAATCACTGAGTGGTTTGAGTGGGATGTGGCTTTCAACTTTATCCTGGAATGCTGGCAAACTTGATTCACAATGACTTTATTGAAAAGGATTACCTCAGAAGACTCCTGAAGTGTGTTTTAGCAATGACTGTCACTGTGGAAATCGTATTTACTGTATTGTTTCTGTCCTTTAGATCTCCAAATCCTTCCAGTATATACCTCTGTGAATATACAAGTTTGTTTTTTTGTGGGAAAGAAGCCCTTAGCTTGTATGATGTAACTTCTCCAGGACAGAACATGCATTTTACAAGACAAGGATGAGGATTTCCATGTAAGCATACAATGTGTACTTGGACCCTTGATGTATGCTTTTTATATCTCTTGAGATTCAAATTATTCCCTGAATAGGTGAGGATAATACTACTCATACCCACTCACGTTTTAAAAGTGGCATTTTGTGAGAAGTTTTTTGGCCCCTTCTGTGGGATCACTTGCATTTCCTGGGTAGTTAGTGAAAGGATATAAAATATATCCTGCTTGATTAGATTTTCCAGTTTGTTTCACTTTACTGTCTAATTTTCAGCTGAAGCTAGGAGCAAGGGCACAGTATCCATCAGCCAGACCTGTCCTCGCTGAAAATAATTTTAATTAGTTTGATAGTCCAGCTGTCTGATTTAACTGTCTGTCCTGCTAAATGCTGTACAGCTGCAGGTTGCTTTCTGAGGGCCTGTTCCTTGTGATGGCTGGCTTTAGAGTGGGTTTGAAAAACTGAAGGAGTGGCCTTATGAGTTTGCTCATACTTAGCAAAATCTTAGGAATGGCTCTGTCTTAAAATTCTTAAATTGTCTAGTATGGATGTGCTTTCCTTCTCACTTGGAACTTGGTTTATTTATTAAGTAGCTCGTGTGCGCTCTATATTTCAGTGGAGTGGTGGGGCTTTTCCCTCTGACATTTTGAAAGTCATGGTGATGTTCCTGTGCTCATCTGTCTGCAGCTCTGCACGAAACTGGACAAGAGAAACACTAATGTTGCCCTTTCCAGAAAAGTTGCCTGCTGAATTTAATATGATAACTGTAAACAGGTGACCATTTTCATCATTGATCACAATAAAGTGGTTAATTTATTTCAAGATACTATGAAAGTCTTCAGTGTTATGACAAAATTGAGGTATAGTTTTTCAACTTCTAATGATCCCAACATTAAAAGCACCCTAAACAAAACCAAACTAAAAATTAGGTTTTTAAATACTTATTTTTTCAATGGGTAATTCTTATGTGTTAGAATGAATGTATCTACAGGCCAAAATCTGCTCTTCATTAGGTGGGTGGTAGACTCAACACCAAGTTGGAAGGCACCTTTCCCCAAAGCCTGCTTACAGAGCAAGGTGATGAGTGGGGCAACTTCCATCATGCTGATGTATACAGAGAGGTTGAACAGCATATAATTTACTCTGAGATTTTTACCTAAAATTGTATGAAGTTCTCATTTGTGTGTATTTAACGTTGACTTGAATTTTTTTCAGCCGTTTTAAACGGTGGACAAATCCTGTTCTGCTTTACTCCGTTAAGTGTTGTTGTTTATTTTTCTGTTTAGCAGTAGAAATACCTTCATACCTAGGCAATAAATATCTGTGCAAACTTAAACAGAAGAAACTCCCAAACTTGTCTCCCCCACCCCCTGCCCACCTTTGCAGGTACTGAAAGTAGCTAGAGTGAGCATGAATAGAGATTTGGTATGTTGGGAATAATTCTGGGGTTAATTCTCAGCAATGAACATGTAATTTCTCTTTACTGTGGTCCAAGAATGTTATGATTAGCCTTGTATCACTTCAATGAATTGTGGAACCTGGGTAAAGCTGTAGCTTTAGTACTGAGGTAAGACCTGGAGCTTGTTCTGACTTACTTTGGTCAGGGCCATGGGTTAGATTTTTTTCACTCAGCAGCAGAGCTTTAGGAAGCTACAGGGGTGGTGGGCAAATATTATTTAATAAGTCAAAAAATTCATAGCACATTCAGGAACTTTTCAGGAAGGCAAGGAGGACAGACATTTTAACATAAATTTATTTCTGAATAAATTGCAACATTAAGAACTACTGTATAGAGAAACTGCATCACACTATTACAACTCTGTCATGATATTTGTGCTTTATAGGATAAGTAAACATTTATTCTGTCACAGCAAAAAACTGTATACTGACAACTAACTGTATTTGATTTAAAAATAAATACACTTTCCCATTTATTAAACAAAGCATTTTAAGTCTATAATACTTGATGCTTTTTATTAACTTTCAGCCTCAGAAGTGCTGAGCATTCAGAGTTGCCACTCGTGTTAGTGGGCGTTACGGATGTTCAGCAATTCTTAGGAGCAGGCCCAGTGACGGCACAGTTATGTTCAGTGTATGCAATAAATTGACCTTTATCTTGACAGTAAAGCAACCTTCACTGTTTTGTATATACTGCTCAGTAGATGTAGAATTACTCATGTTGTTTAATGTTCCACATTAGATTTTGATTCAGTAACAATTTGTATTTTGTAACAAATGAGTGACCCAATCATGCGTGTTTAGGAATGGTTTTAAAGATAAAATTGAGAATATGGCTCTTTTCATAAATTATTTAAAACTACTTCAAAATTTTCAAAAATATTTAGTGCAAAAGGATAGGTTCTTTTTTTTCAAGAAATATTACAGAAGCATAAACTGTCATATGGAAAATAAAACATCTCTTAAATATTTTACTGGGAAAAGCAGGCAGGTTTTCTATTATACTATTTGGGTAGGGAGAGATGAAAGATAAATATTTTCAAAGAAACAAATCGCAGAAGAGCTGTGATGTGATAACTTATATTTACCTTTAAATTCAAAACCAGTCTCTTTGGCAGAGTCAAGAGAATGTATCATTAAGTGCATGATACTAACAGATCATCTCAACAAGACGATACCATAGTATATCTTATCAAACAGTTATATAAATGTTATAGTAATGTAAACTATCACATATAGTCCAAACACTTATATCCAAAATGAGCAAGTATGTCTGCTGAAATTTTAGCAATAATTTTGCTTTCCTGTAAGTTACAAAAACTAACGTTAATATTTTTAGGAGTGGTACTCTTCAGATAGGCATTTCTTCACCTTATTAACAATGTGTCTGATTAAACTAAAATTAAAAGAGAATCTTTTTTCACTGCTTCTAACTGATATGTAGCGTGTTACATAGTGCTTTAAATCAAAGCACTTTACGTAACGATTGTACTATCATTACTCCCTCTTACCAGGTAGGGACACTGAGGCACAGAGGTGAAATGACTCGCCCAGGGCCACGTGGCAGGTCGGTGGCGGGACAGGGCTGAGACCCGCTGCCCTGACTCGCAGAGCTGTGCTCGAGGGCACACTGGGTGCAGCTGTACTGAACTGCACTGCCTCCAAGTGAAAAGGAATGAGTTTCAGGGTAGTAATTGAGAGTCTAGATTTTATTTCCTTGAGAAGATGACAGGCATTAGGAACAGCTATGAAAGAGAAATAATCACGTAGAAAGAAACTAAAATGTGTTTTTTAGCAGCTTTTTATTGTGTTGTCTAACTGCAAAGGTGTTAAGTGTTCAAAAGTTTTTACCTGTTAGCAAACTATGGAGATTTTAAAAAAAAAAAAAAAAAAAAAAAAAGAAAAATAATTATCTAGGAATATGCGTGTCTCTAGCTGTCCTGGAACACACTCTGGTTCTAATAGTTAAACTGTACAAATATTGGTGTTTGAAAATGGAATGTTAGTGTGCTATCCCATTTTAGCTGATTGATTTAATCAAGTTGATGAAAATGGAACATATTAGATACTTAATTAAGCCTTCACTGTGTAGTCCATTAATTCAGAAGGCTAAATCCCCTCCTAGTAGAGTACATCCTATAGCACAGTATGTCAAGAGTCCCTCATGATACAGAAAGATACAATACATCTTGGTTTCACTTCGATCCTTATTTGGTTGTGGAACATATGTGTGCTGTTTCTGTAGAGTTTGTATATCTTTGCTCATTTTATTCAGTGATGTTCAGAAATTGGAGCATTACACAAACCACTGCTTATTTAAACTAGAATAAAACAAAAATGCTGAACAGGTGAACTTCCTTAACCCAATTCGAGAAGCCAATCAAACAGGCTTGGTTTCATCTCTCTGTCTTCCTCGCTGAGCTTGCAGTACTGCACCACAGCATGAAAGATATCCCCCACTTTCCAAGACTTCCGTTGAACTAATTGCACAACATCTAAAAACTAGACAAAAAAACAAAACAAACCACGCTTAGCAAAATGTTAACCAAATCCTAAGGTTTTGTTAAAGGAATACACACAAACTGCTACTGTATACCATCCTTTGTAAATGCACTGCTGTGTGAGAGAGTGGACACAGTTCACTGCACAGCAACATGAAGGCTCTTTCTATTCATAAAACTTAATTTCTGAAGTTTCATAGATCCCCAAAAACTGTTTGGATCTCATGACACTTTCCAAATTAGCTGCTCTCATCAATTATTTCTTATTTATTGCAATGGAAGTAAGAACACTGAAATTGAGCTCGATAAGGATCACAGCTTTCCTTGTTAATGACAACTTGCTGTCAAAATAACAAAAGTATGACTATCCCTTTTAAAGAAAAAGAGAATCCCTCTTCATTACCATTACCTATATTTTAATTTATATTTAATTCTATGTCTTTCTGTATATATATCCCATAGTATTTTAGGTATTCACATAGTACTGGTGAGAGGGGAATTTTGCGTAAACTTCTGTCAGATGAAGACATTTGCTGCAATTGTAGTTGAATCAGAGAGAGTATCTATATTTTTTTTTTTTTTTTAAACCTCCAGTTAAACCAGAGGTTAAATATATGTTCTTAAGCAGCTGTAAAAAATCCTGAATTTTGTCCACTTTGTACTTAATCTTAGACTTCACAGTGTCATACATCTGGTCCCATTTTTTTCTGAAGCACATACATAAAAATCAAAGCTTTTCATATCTTTGAATTTCACAGTCTATATCTAATTAACTTGCTCTTTCTACAATTCCAGTTTTAAACCACACAAGAAAATATTGTGTGTCTCTAGTTAGTGTAGCTGTTTGCTATTTACATACTGAAGCCTAAACTTTTAATATGTATTTTAATGATATTTAATAGGCACGCGATTTCCAAGAACACTGTTGTAGGCAGGATGTGCTTCATTATTCTCTAGTGTATTTTTGCAATTGAATTAACTGTTTGCCAAAGCACATGGGTAAAGCTGACAGCTGTTTCTTTAATTAGATGCAATTTGGACTGTTGCTGCTGAATGCATTTTAAATTATGTTTATGATTCCCAAATGCATGCACTCAAGAAAATCAAACAATATCTCTGCTACTCAACATGATCTTCCCATAAAAGACCAAAATACTGATTTGTAATACTTTTTTCATTAATTGATTTGAACACTCTGACACTTTTTGTAAGCCTTAAGGCCTGAGCCATTCTTGCTGACCTTGGAAATGGGGCTGTTCTGGTCATTCCTGAAATGCCGTGGGTGGCATTTGGTGGTATCTACAATGGAGCACAAAGTAATCATTTGGGAATGGAAACAGTCCACGCTTCTTGTGTCCATTTTGGACTTCTGTGTTGCTCTTGGTGCTCTGACTTGGGCTAATACCTCAAACTTTCTCAGTTCTGGTAGTCTGTGTGTCTGTCTCTCTCTGGAAATAGACTTCTGCTTTCAGAATGGTGGTTGGCAGAGGCTAAGCTGCACCTGAGCAGAAGCAAAAGGGTAGTGGCACACACAGCACTTTTCTATTGCTAAGCCAGGGGAGGTGCTTTGTAATCTCCACACAATGATGCAAAATACTTCAATCAGTCATCTAATTTTCCAAGTAATGGATGTGTGATTGCAGATATGGCTCCACCAGAAATGTGGGTTGGTCACTGCCTGGGCAAAATCTGTCTTAAATACCTTAAATGCTGACAATTTAATCCTCTCCTCCCTTTCTGTAATAATCAGTAGCATTGCCATCTTGTAATTAAGATGTTTTTGAATCTGCTTTTAAGCTCAATACCTTCAATAAATCATAACTGCTACTGCAATTAAAGTGAATTAACAGTATGGCCAATTCTGTAAATACTACCTTTTCAATTCTGTTTTCCTGAGATTTCTTAAAATAGATGGTTGGAATTCCGAGTTCGGAAGCAGCTATCCACTGTAGGGTGGCTCGCAGCTCCGCATTGGGGCACTCTGGTTCCAGATCAAAGTTTATCACCAGCAGGTCCTTTTGACAATTAGCTGTTCCCACTGAAAGCGCAGAAGTACTTTCTGGAAAAACAATCACAGCAGTTACTGTGCAATTACTTGTGTTAACTTCAAATCGTATATTTTAATTGATGTAATTCAACTTACCTTCTGTATTTTCTGTCTGTTCTTTAAGGAAAACCTTTTCTTCTACTAATTCACTTAGAAACAAACAACAACAAAGCTTATTAGTGATATTTAAGAACAGTCTACAGCATTACTTTGTGATGGATAAACTTCTCCCTCAATGTAAGACCTAGAAAACTTCAAGCAGGCAGGCACATAGGATGAAATAATAAAATGCTGAATATATTTCATTTATTTAATCTGTAAATCAAGGAAAGCTATGGGAATTGCAGCATTATTGCTGTAATAGGATAAAGTGCTTGTACTGGTTGCACTGTGTATTACATTTCACCAGGATCTGTGTATCTTTACAGTTTACATAATGACAAGCAAATGACATTATGATAAGACACAGCAAGTCTCATAACCTGAGCGGAAATACTGAACTTCCAATGTCTGCATTTTACAGTGCTCTGCTCCCTGGCTGAATCTTTTCCAGTCTTGTTTTCTAGTTTTATTTTTCACAGTTAAATACAATTATAACTATCAATGATCTCAACTACTGCTGTTTTTAAATGTATTCGTTGTTTGGATGGATAAATTCTGTTTACACTTTGCAAAAATTTCTGAAGATCTTAATTTCTTATGTATCATCTCTTTCTTAAACTAGAAGAAACAAACTCCAGGCATGTGGTCACTGCTTCAGCTTCCAATTCTGAACACAGTATCAGTGCTCATGAGCACGTACATTTGCAGGACACTGCAAAGTTACTGTTGATGTCACAGCTGTTGCATTTGTTTCATCACTCCTGTCCCATTCCCCCCTCAATCAGGGGGAATGCTGCAAGCGTAAGATTTTCTTCCGAGCATGGGAGGATGCTACTCTTTACCACCCCCATTCACAGGATTTCAGAATCTCCCCCAAGGCTTCAAAGAATCAAGGTTATATATACTCATGTAGTGGTTACTGCAGGATGAGAGGAAAGAATAAAATGGCAGCATGCAATGTATGTTTGTCATGACTTAGAATCATAGGTGCTCAATAACTTCCTTCACATCAGATTTTTTTCCCGTTTTCTGTCTGAACAGCAGATATATTCTGTGTCGTGATTTTGATTTGTGGAAATACAAACTTCTCACACTTATTGGCTAACTCTTGGGAATAGCCCTTGAAAGCTAACAAGGGGAGTTGAGAATTTATCCCTTTGGTCCTTGGAAATAGAAGGGAGAGAGGTCATCTTTAGGAGTGTGTGTAGGAGGTATCACTGCCTAATGAGATGAGAATGTTTTAACAAGGTTAGACTCTGAATTGGCAGCTGAGAGAGAATGCATGTAACTACAGAAATATGAATGTCCAGATTTCTTACAAAAAAAAGAGCCTCTTAAAAGCAGGACAGTTGTAGTATAGTCTGGTAATGAGCTGTGAAGATTTTCTGATGTCATGGACTTCACAAAGTTCCCATGTTCAATGCACGATGTACAGTCTATACACTTCTGCGGCAGCCATGCCCTGGTTGCATCGTGACATTCACCAACTGGCAGGCTATACCAGGCTCCAGGGTACCAGAATCTTTAGGCAGGTACTTGCACATCTCTTGATAATTTAATTGCATGCTCAATAGAAACATGCCCAGAAACAATAGCTAAGATGTACTTTGGGCCAAATTATTATTATTCTTGGAAAGAACGCTGTTATATTTTTTTTCCTTTGACTTTAATTGATCCTTATTTGCTTGATCTTATGTGGTATTACAGTAGAGTTTTGATAATACTTGAAGTTACTTAGAGAAGAAAGTTCACACAATGGGAAAACAATACTGTAGAAAACTGTCTTTTAGGCAGAGCAGTTGGTGGATCCATGTTCTCTTGAGAGATCCACCTGGGTGGGCTTTCCTGTAATCTTTCACTGTCTAGTGCTGTCATTCTGCACAGACACCTTCATGTGCTTTTTTCTGAAACTAACAGCAGGCTCAGCAGCAGGTGCAAAGCAGGGCTTGGCACATTTTAGGTGGTGTAAATGATTTGCAGTTAAAATTAGACTAAACATCAAGTCTCACTTCAGTGACTACTTACTTAATCATAGGAGAAGATGGCATGTTCTCCTGATAAATTTCCAGGTCCATAATGCCAAGACTGCTAGTTGTACTGCTGTTGCCATTGCTGACAAAGCAAAAGTTTAAATATTAGTGCCAAGCTGCACTGAACATGTCTCCATACATCTTTTTTTAATTTATATATGTACAAAGTAAGGAGGCTGCCCCCTGTTACGGAGTTCCACAAAATCAATTGTGCGCAGCAAGTGGTTCCCAGAATGAGGCACACTAAACTGCTCAAAATCATGAGGATTTTATTAAAATAGCTCTAAATGGAGCATGTATCAAGTGATGCTATAAACTGGCTGAGAAAAAAAAAAAGGGAACTATCTTCTTGTGAATGGCTTATGCAATGAACATTTGGCCTCAAACAGAAAACCAGTCTGCATGAGTTCTTGAAAAGAAGGGTTATCAGGTACAGAGTTGTCCTGGAAAAAGCCTGCAGAAATTCAGATGCCCCTGAACATGGTGAGTTATAACAAGGCAGTTGGTTGCCCATCATGCTACTTACCTGTTGGGTGACTCCATGCCTGTAAGGAGCAGCAGTTTCAGTGTATTACATCACACCCCACGGACTATCGGGGATCTGATGGAACCCACGGGTACAGTGATGGCCCCTTATGTTTCTAACTACTCTGAAAGACTGAGATTTCAATTAAAGCCAGTGCTTATTGGGACCAATAATATGTAGAAGTATTCTCTTTGGCTTCTTCACAAGAATGACATATTACATCTGAGAATACTTGGAAAAAATAGTACCAGTTCACTTTATAACATCATTATATATTTGTCAGCGAATGTTTATGTAGATACTGTAGTAGTCTCATGAACAGTTTGTGAATCTGCTGGCTGCAAGTCAATTTGCACAAACAAGTCTTATGTGGTGAGTCAACTTGCACTGTTTAATTTTTACTGGAAAAGAAACTAATAGTATCTTTCATTACATTGGAAGGATTGGTTAGACAGTTCCTTTCCCCATTAGGTTTTTCTGAGACAGTGTCAGCATGCCATGCATTCAGACTTGCTGTAGCAATTTCTGTTTCAATGCAGAGTGAAAAGGCACAATGCATTAGCTCTCTCAGACCAAGGACTTAGTTAAAGGTTTATGCTATAATAATGGGGTGAATGTTCACCCACACTGACGAACAAGTTTTGTTCAGTATTTTTTCAGCTAGCCAGTAGTGCTCTCTGACAGTCACTCTTTCTCTTTCGTGCCTCATTACCATACCGTTTTCCTTCCTTGTCATCTTAATCCCCAAGAGAAAGATGTAATTACTTGACAATATTTTAAAACCAAAGAGCATGTGAAGAAAAAACCTTGTTCAATTGGAAATTGTGAAAGAGCTGAAGTAAAACTAATGTCACTTTATATAAACTCTCAGGACTAAATAACATTTTTAAACACATCCTGTCTTGAATCGGAACAAAAAGCAGCACATTCCACTGGGAGCTCTGGAATTTATGCCTATTAAGGGGGAGCTTGGTCATCCTCTGTTGGTCTGCTCCCTTGTGCCAGTCTAAGCAAATCAGGGTTCGATCTCTGCTCTTAGTACACAGATATATGGTGGGAGTAACAGTCTCATCAATCTTGGCTAAGGAGATGCCAAAATAAACATTATGCAAATAGTAGCAAATAAATCAAAGGAATGGCCATAGCAGTTAGCTTGTCTGATGGCCCTTTCACTGTAGGACTGAGGCACTTGAGTGGTGCCATGAAGGTTTTTCTTTGTCTGTATCTAGCTGCTCACCAATAATACAAAGATCTGGCTGAGAACCAGAATGTAGCTAACTTTTTTTTTTTCTTTTTAAAAAATAGATAAACTCTGTCACTAGGCTTTCTTTACAGTTTTTTGAATAAATCTCAAGCTGTTGACCCTCATTCCTGATGCATGGTAGGTAGTTAAACCATTGGCTTGGCTGATTAGACCATATTGTGTACTGGGAACAGACAATACGGGTACCTCAGGGATCGCTCGCTGAGTTGTAAGTAGCTACTTGTGTCATCAGGATTGTCCTCATCATTAGCTAGCTGGGACCAGCTGCCAGTGCTTTCTTCACTGCTGCTGAGATGGTTTGGAAATTCTTCAGCTGTTTTTGTCTCTCCCACGATTTCAGCATCCGATCTGCTCTGAGGACTGTTGCTGGTAGGGTGACAAGGAAGGCACATTGATATTGTAATATAGGCAAACAAACTGGTGCCACCGATCTTCAGGCAGTGTTGCTCATTAAAGTCAACCAAGCTGCAAAATTATACAAATGCAAGAGATTGGACAAGCTTATAATTTATACATGAGGTCCAGTTGAACATAAGGTTTGAGATGCTCTTAAAAAAAGATCTTATGACTGCTATAAACAAACACAAAACAAAGTAAGCCTTATAATGAAATATGCATAGAAAAGGTTTAACTTGTACAGAAGGAACTTCCCACTGCACAGGCCTATTGCTTAATGCACTTAGTCAATCAGTGGTTGAATTATGTGGTATATATTAGTGCAGAATGATAGCATTTCTTGGAAATATATATTGGCACTAAATCTCTCTTCTACTACTAATAAGTTTCTGGCCAGGGTTTTCTATTCTGTTGGCATTGTAGATCCAAAAGAGGTCAGGAAGTAAAAGTAGGAAAGTATTGTTGGTTGTGAATCACTAATGACTCAGCCTTCTGTGCTGCTTAGTATCTTTGCTGCTTAGGTTGGGGAAGGACAAAGTATTCTTTTTCTAGCTAGGTGTGCAGGAGGTAGTCAGAAACCAGACCGAATATGGAGCCTGCAATGAGTTTAGAAAATACAGGGTTAGGGGAAAAATGCTTTATAATTCTGCATACTTGACATATGTCGCACACAGACACACATGTTTATGTGACACACACATATATATACATATACACTCCCCCAAATGCACAAAGAAACAAAAATTAAAAACTATATTTATGGTAACTTTTCAGAGCCAAACTGGACTTTGCAAGACTTAACATGGGACTCCGGATATGCAGGCAGAAAAGTGTATAGTAATCCAAACCCCATTCCTTTTTGAAGATAAGAAAGAATTGATTATATTACTGCAGCACCAGAATAACAATTGAAGCAAAACTGTAGTTCTATTATGTTTACTGGCTGGTCTGCATTTGTAATTTTGTGATTAAAATAATGTAATGTGTACTGGCCACCCTCTGCAGGATCCCTCCAGAGAAGTTTTCACCTTCAGACTTCTATCTATAGTTATGGCTGAGGTGCCCTGTCTTCAGTTAGAGCAAGAGATCACCCCAAACATTCTACTGCTCCCAAGTAATTAACTTGATTCAGAATATACTGAGACGGTATCATTGTGGATATCTCCTTTTGCCATGCTCTCACTCTCAGGACAACTGAGAAGTTGCTGCATTAATGCCAGATGCCAGAGAGAGAGGCAGCCTCCTGTACAGGGAGAAAGGGATTGGTTTACCTGAAGGCCTCTGTTCTACCAGGCAGTCAACGTCTGTCAGATAACTACGCCCGTTATCCCTCACCCCTCGGGTACGCAACTCATCATCTGTAGTAACCTTGAAGGCACTGAGCAGCCAGCTTGCAGGGTAGTGACATTCAGATTTTTAATACAGGGCAGGTAGTGCCTAATACTTGGTCCAAAACATGAGATGTTTTTGTGGGTGTTGTTACTTGGCAACTTGGCATTTTGGGTTTTGTTCGATTCATTATGCAATTGCATCTCGGACTAGTGATGCTTTGAACTGACAGTTCCCTACTTCTGAACAGTTTTTTTCTAATTGACTATATGCCTGCTAGATATTTTGCCTGGAGTCCTATGTGCCTGTATCTACACTAGCAAGTAATCTCATGCAGTAGGAGTGGACCAAAGCAATAGGTGCTGATGTTTTTATATATCTACATTATATTTTTAGGTCTTTACTTCAGACTAGACTTGGTCCAGACAGCCATACCACAAATGGTTCTAATCCATGTGAAGAACCACGGAAGCTTTGCCTTCCCAGTTGGTGTACAGACACATTTGGTACGCACTTGTGCAGCTTCTCATTGAGACTCCTTTAAAAGAAATCTGCATTTTGTGTTGCAGAGCCGATGCATGGAAATAGAGACAAAGTGATTCAGAACTGCACTTCATCACTGAACCAAAATGCTCATGTAGGTTTAGCCTCTGGTTACCAATTCTGCCCTACCAATCCTATTTCTTTAAACTTTCTATAGCCATTTAGGGAACTCTGTATTGAAGGCAGTGGAAAAGTTGGTATTAAACAGCTCACAAACTGTGCAAAAATAACTTCATTTTCAAACAGTCAAGATTCCATATAGGTAGATTTCTAAATGTATCTTATTAAAAGCAGGTTGGGTTCGAAGGAAGAGGAAGGTTAGTGGGGGAGAGTATGAAAGAATAGCGACACTATGATAATTATCCACCTAATTGCTTCCATACCCAGGAAAGTACATGCTTTCTCACTTCAAGCAGAGCTTTGTCAAAAGCCAAAACAGAGCACTGTCTAGAAAAAAATGAGCTACAAAACATTTTCTAACACTAGCACCTGCACTCTTTCTAGCCCTCTGAAATAATGGGGTGCTGCAATGTTCCAAGTGATTGGCAGTTTAGATACTATTACAGTAACGGATACGATGAAGAAGTATAGTTAAAAATAGGCAATGCCTCGAGAGAGTCTTGCTCTTAACCTCATAGCACCCACAGCAATCCTCTACCTTTGCACTGCACTCTCATACGGGGCTCACACTTTGCCTTAACCAAAGCAAGTTGCAGATTTCTCAACAAAAGGAGTACAGCTGTAAGGAGAGGGTGGTAAGCTATGGTTTAAACTCCATTGAATGGAATTAAAATAAAATGAGATTTTATTATATTCTCTATCTAAATTCTACTGGAGAAATCTTGAACTGAAGGAGGAGAAGGGTGTTTTAAATTGCTATTTTATTTCCTCCACTAAATAATTTTTATTACTTATAGCTCCGGACTGCAAACACAAAGCTGAACTTCAAGTTCTCAGATGTCTGATCTTGTTTTCAGGTACACAAAGCATTAGTTATAGGGACAAGCATAGCAGAGAGCTACAGCTCAAATTCTGCCATCTTCTGTTTTATGCTAACACTGATTTTTTTTTTTTTTTTTTTTTTTGAGATATCAGCACTAAATGAAAGTTCAAACTTTGTCCATCTTTTCTGACGACTATGGAAGACTTAAATATCTGCGGAGAGAAAACTTACTTGTCTGTGCAGTATTAGATTTGAATTTCAGAACCATAGTATTGTCATATTCCATGTACTTTTGCTCCAGAGATTTGCAGTTATATATGATTGGGTGATTTTAGACCATTAGAAACCAGTAGTCAGAACTTAACCTGTTTGTTTCTTTAAAAGTACTTCTCTTCTTATCTTCTTCCTTTATCATAATAATTTTTACTGGGAATTTAAAACAAACACCAAAGCAATGTGCTGATTTGCTGCTTTGTCACCTACCTATTTAGCAGGGAACTGGAAACTCTGTGTTTCCCATCAAAAGCTTCTGGAGGCTTTTCTTTGTTTTGATGCTCCTTTCCAGACCGGCCATATGAAGATAAGCACTCCGAATCTTTATCTGGTTCATCTCTTTGATCAGTTTCTATCTGAATTAAAGGCACTTCCCTGTGCTGACCTGCAGGGAGACATCCAGGGCTCTTCATATGCTCTTTTTTGTCATCCAAACTTACTCCATCCATTTTGGGTTTTGACTGAATCTGATTTGGGCTTTGAGGATGTTTGCTTTCCAGCACATGCTCTCGGCTTGTGTAATCAAAGGAATCCTGCTGGACAATAATAAAATTTTTGCCACTTTCAACAATATTTGCAGCCAATCTGTTTGCATATTGTTCAACATGTGGTGGGGAATCACTGTGAAACTGGTCTGCCTCTGCCCCATCTGCTATGATTTTGTTCTTGCGCATTAGAGATTCAATAGAACTTGCCCATGTCTCATGAATCAACATATCTGTTATCTGGTCAGTCTTGCATCTTTGGTACAGGCATGAGTCAGACTTGCAAAGACCTGAAGAAGCCACGGTACTGACTGGCTGCACACTTAAGGAATCTTGGTGGTGGTGGGCAAATCCATCTAATGAATTTGCCTTAACTGGGACATTAACTGTTAGCCTAGAGCCTGATGATCTGCTGTCAGGCACTGACGATTGCCTAAAGCAAAAAGGTGATCGTAGAGAGGGTGGTAGCAGGCTGCCACACCAGTCCTTTGAATTCCAAGGGGAAGATACGTTATCTTTATTTTCCTTTTCTATTTCTCTCAGCATATACCTATAAAATTCTTCTGTTATGCTTTCTGTACTGGACTGTTTGGATGGGCAACTTGGTCTTACATTGAGATGACCATTTTTCTTGGCTACCTGTTGTAAAGCAGAAGTTAAGATGTTGTTTGCATTTTTTCCTGCATAATAATCCAGTAATAAATCAAAACCTCTTCCTTCATTTTCCATTTGGTTCACCATAAATCTTGAAAATTCATCTGTAATGCTTTCACAGCTAGACTGCTTTGAGACAGAACTTGTCTGGCTCACAGACTGACCAAAGGTATTCATTAGGCCTAGGGTATTGAAAGAGGCTTTGGAATCTGACTCCTCCTCTGGTATGCTCTCACAGCTTGAGGCCTTGGCTCGGCTCCATCTTTCACAGTGCAGCCTGTTCCTGGGGTGGTTTGGACCTTGCCAGATGCTATCAACCATGGAGAATTCAGTGAGGTTCATGATCTTGGCAGCCACTTCGTTTGCAAAGATATTGACTGAATCTGGTGTGTCCTCAAGGTTTATAGATTCATCTACTACCCGATTCATCAATCTTTCCTTCAGCTCAGGATGCTCATCTGTTTTTCTTTTGATCTCACTAAGTCTAGGTGCTCTGTGCTTTCGAACAACTGAACCATTAGCATGGGTTTCCTTTTTCCGTTTCATGGTTCTGCATGATAAACTCTGGGTCACCAGATGTTCATTGCCTCGCTTCCATGCACAGAACCAGGGTTGCTTTCCATTTGAATTTTCAAGACAAATGGCAGCTATTTCTGTTGCCATAGAAACAACTGTTTCTGCCAATTCTTCTGCAAAATCTGTTATACAATATTTGTCCCTTGAATGTTTCACCTGTAGCACAGGCTGAGAAGGAAGCAAGACATGATTTCCTAATAAAGACAAGCTAACCTGAACATCATTATTTAGCACAGCATCACACTTATGCTTGGCCTGGTTTTCTGCACTCATGGTGGCACTGGAAGACAGCTGTTCTTGAACACCATGCCTGCATTCATTGTTCGCAAAGGTATTTTCTCTGTCTGAAAATGATCTGTAGTCTTTCTTCTTCTGGTGACTGTTACTCTGATTTGGGGATTTGTAACAGTCTCGTGCTGTTCTTTTCAGGTATCTTTTCTTGGGAGATGTTTTTGCAACAAGTGCGTTATGCCCTGTAGCTCTACTTGTTGGTTCTGAATTCAGTGTGGCACTTCCTTTGTTATGTACATCTTTCATATTACTTTTTCTAGTGTTTGTGACATTTCCAGGATCTTTGCTAGCACTAGTACTGTAGGATGTACCAAATGGATTAACAGCAGAGTGCTCGAGGGAGCTGTGTGAACTTTCACGTGCTGTTGCCTGTGTTGACCATCCTTCTGCTCTTGTTACTTTCTCTGATTTTGTGCCCTTGGAAAAGAGAGAACACTCTTCAACTTGTCTTATGTCATTCATCTTCTTGCAAGTGAAATATATTATGTTAAAAAGCAACTCGTTTGCAGTCTCCATGAAAATGTCTTGTGTACTTGAGCCATTTTCTGAACAGGGGTGTAGCTGCCTCTTCTTCCTAACCTCTTCAACAGAATGTCGTAGGATAATATTGGATAAATTTTGCGCAAGTTCATCCCTGATTACTTCATCAGTGTGTGGAATTCGTGGCCTTGCTGCTGTTTCAATAATTTTTCCATTTATGGATTCAATAAAGTGCCCTACATTTTTGTATGTGTTGGGTTTTGTCAAAATTATTGATGCCTCTTTAAGAAGTGCCTCTGCGATGCTGTCATTTAGCTTCTCCATGCTGCTTCCTATAGCTATGCTACAATGAAGAGTGATGGCTGCAGAAGTCTGAGCAGCAGACAGAAGACCACTTGAAGTTGCAGGGTACTTCTCTTCCTTCATTTCCCCCAGACCACAGACAGCTACAGCACTTGCTACTTGAGTCATGCCACACAGTGCAGATGGAAATGAATACTCTGTGCCAGCACAGTCATCAAGTAGCTGTGAAGATGCTGCATGTATTTCTTTGTTACCACCAGCTCTGCTTTTAGAGTCTGTGGCTTCTTGATCCCATCTGAATTTTTCTGCAGCCTGGGGACTGGAAATGGTTCCAATGACAGTGGCTGCACAAGCCAGAGCCACTTCCAGTGCACTCTGGCCGGGTCCGTTTGAATGTTCTTCCTCAACGTAATCTGAAACTTCAGCAGAACTTTCTGATTCAGTCCAGTGGCACAGGCTGGGGAAGGCAGGCCCTGGCCAGTCAGATGTATTCTCAGAACTGTCTGGACTTTGCACTATGACAATCTTCGGAAGTTCATTCCACGATCGGGAGGCAGATACATCTTCTGACTTACAGGAGCTTCCTACGGAGATGCTGACTGCAGCCTCCTCACTAAAAGTGGGTTGAGACTGTGACAGTCTAATGAACGCATCTTGCAGAACAGATTCTGCTAAATTTGTGGCGTACTGACCTGTAGTTGCCTGCTCATTTTGCGAGGGAGGATCAGTTTTCCTGATGCCTGCACAATCCTCTCCATCTGTCTTACTGTCGTGTTTCGCTATTAGGTCACATGGAGGGCCCAGCTCCTCTTTAGCCATTTTGGTTAAAGACACATCATCTAACATGTGCACTGAGCAGGAATTTTCAACTTCACTAGTCAAATCAGTAGTACTAAAGGATGAAGTAGCTCTTTCTGCTAATTCCTTCTGCCACAGTATTTCCTGGACTGACTTATCTTCGGGTTGTAAGACGACATCTTTGGCCACGACATTCACAGCTTCAGAGACTCTAGTAGATGTATTATCTTTATTAATGCAATTCCCTTCAAGAATGGATGGCAACCTGGCTTTTCTGTAGTGGAGATTTTCAAATCCCTTTCCTTTATTTTTTTTGACATCTGAAGATACTTCTGAAACACTTAATTTTTCATGACCTATTAAAAGAAAAATAAGAAACTAGTTTTTGCAGAGTACCCTGTAACTTTAAAAAGAAAATGGCTGCACAACTGTGAAACTCATTACTGGTGTGTAAAACTACTGCACATCCATATATCCTTGTCTTTGAACAATAATTTAAAAATATGAATGGCTGTCCATTTTCTAAAATACCAATAAATATATGCATGAATTAACATCAAATGCAATTTCTGTGATCTTTGCCATGGCTGTTTTGCAGTACGAACAATAGCAGAATTACTCTCAGTCCTGTTGCTTTTACCAGTTTTATATTCATCAGCCTCGTTGTCATCTTCTAGGTGCTCAGATGCTGTGAGGAAATCTTCTTCTATTGAGGACACCGAGCAGTTTGTATCATCCTCAGGCTTTAAGACATGAGTGTCGATCTGCAGCTGTCTCTCCTGAACAAGCTCAAGCCCAATCAGAAATTTGTTTATATCAAAAATGATGCAACTTGCGCTGGCTCTCCTGTCCCCTCTTGCACACTGAACCAAGCAGACGTCTGCCAGCCAAGGACACTAGAGGGGAAGAGAATCTCAAACAGTTATTTAATAAAAAAAAACAAAACAAAACAAACAACACAAAAACACAGAAAACCCCACTTATTTTAAACTTCTCTCTCTATAAATACCTTAGGAATGTTCTGTTGCAAAGATGCAATACAATTTGTCATTAGATGTTTGTAACATGGTGTACAGTTACATGTATGCCCAATAAGACCACTTGGACTGACAGCTTTTGTTATATAAAGTGTTTTAGTAGAGAACCCAGCTGTATTGCAGGGGCATCTTTATTTTCTTGAAATTACCAAGTTTTTTCTTGTTTTAATGACAAATCAATGTCAGACTTAACCATCTGACATGCTGTTATTAACAGACTCACACCACCCAGTATTACCTGCCTCTCGAGGGAATTGTTTGTGGGCATGAATTCCTTTTCAGGATAACTCCTGTTGCAATGCTTGTTTGAAGGCAGCCTGTAAACACTGACTGGTGAGATTGTTAAGAGCAGGTCACTTTTAGATGTTCCTACAGACTGTTTTAAAATAGTGGTTTATATTTTTTCTTTGTTCTTTTTCTTCTCTATTCCTTATTTGCCCCAAACCCCATTATTTCAGATGAGTATAACCTCCCACTGGAAATAGGGCCCTACTGTACACTGTGCTGAGCCTTTATATAAAGCTGTCTTACCCAGAGAAGCTGCACAATTAAGTTGAAAGTTGAGCAGAAACCAAGAGAAAGGAACTCTTGTTATCCTCATTTTATTGATATTGAAACTGTTGGATATTTATATAACCACAGAGCTAAGTTCATATCTCTGCATGGAACTACGTTTGTGGTATGGATGTGCCTTGAAGCAAAGCCGAGCTTTTGCAGCCTGTGATCTTGCGCTTTAACTCCAGGTTCTCAGGAAAGAGTCAGAGTGGAACCAACTCTGGATCCAGGTGGTAGATTTTAAGCTGTGCAAAAGATGTCCTGGACCCCCTGTGCATTTGCACAGATTTCAGCATAATGTATCCCCATCCTAGATCTTTTGTCTTTGAGTGTGAATGCAAAGCAAATATCTAGTAATAAAGGGAGTGGGATGAATATTATATTGGAATAGCATGTTTTATTAGTCTGCTCTTCATTTCCACCTAAAAAATGTGTCTGAACAGAAAACCAGATAAATTAGTGTGTTAAAAGTAAAACAGAAAAGAGATTTTTTTTCAACTAGCTGCTATGAAATTGTTGCTGAATCAGACTTGAGCAGACACCTTATTGTGAAAAATGTTATTAAAAACAGACGTGGCCTTAGATCAAACATTCCCCTGCTGTTTCTCCAGTCCGCAGTTTGCAGGGTTGTATTTGTGAAAAGGGCTGAGGGGAGCAGAATAAAAATCCTCGTATGAAAACTATGTGAGTCTCCTTACAAATTAAATTCTCTGGAAAGCCAAACAAAGGTAAGGATAAACACAGTATGTGCTTATCTGGCCAATAAATCTCACCCAGTCTCAATGCAGAGCTTTACTCATCTTACAAGACAGAAATTTAGGTTAGTTCTCATTTGTCTCTTGCCTGCACTCTCTCTGGGAAGGCCGCCAGTCTCAATGGCCGCAGTCTTTCAGAGATGGGGATGACATGGGTGCTTGAGTCACCTTGGTTGGGCCTCAAAACACCCTTGTGTGTGTTGCAGAGGCTTCCCCCCCAGGGGAGTGGGGTTTGGAGCTCAATAACCAGGCAATTTCTCTCTTTAAAAATAAGCTTACTGGATTAACATAAAATTCAATGATCTTTGCAATACAGCTGTTCCAGGACCTGCTTCATGAAGACTTTTGCACACAAGTTAATTTCAGTGAAAAAAAAGTTTTCTTCTTTTTTTTTTTTTTTTTTTAATTTTCTGCAGCAGATAGAACTGGAGATATGTGTTTATTTTAAGTTTGCTGAGACAGTTTTGTACTCCAGAATAACTGCAGTTTTAATGAAGTTGTTCCCAATTCATGCTCTGCAAAATGAGATAAGAATTGGGCCATAAAATGTAGTATTTTTCATTCTCTTTCTTTATGCAGAGTTGATCAATCATAAATTATGATAGAAATGGAAAGGAAGGAAAAGCTTTTTATTACAATAAGGAGTTAAGATTCTGGAAGTTGTGTATTAAAATATCTTTAAGCAAATGTTATTGTTTGCTTCCTTTCTCTAGGTGGTACCAGTATGAGGAATTCTTGGCCTCCAAATCACAGATAGGGAGCATTTCATTGGCAATAATGGGAGTGAAGGAGTTAGCATGAGAATTTTGCCTTTAGCTCCTTTAAATGTTAAGATTTAATTAATGCATTAATTACTTTTTAAGTTGACAGAAGCTAAATGAGGTATCAGCTCTGATACGGTTAATGTAGCTTGGTATTTTCCATTGTCACATTCAGGCTTACAGTAGCCTCTAGGATCTTCAAGTCCTATCATCAGCTTTTTTCCAAGGTGCATGTGTGGGAGAAGATGGATTGGGAACAAAAGCAGGAAGTAGCAAGACTTCACTTGAAAGGGTGTCTGTAGGACCTCTACCCTGATCTAGCTATGTGCACAGAAAATGTGTTACATCTTTCCTTTCCCCCCCTTTGTGTTGCCCTTCTGACTCCTGCTGATCTTGAAATCTGGGTTTATGCATCACCTCTGCCACCAATGCCTACCTTCCCTGAAGGATCAACTGTTAATATAGATTAAAGCGTTATCAGCTGCAGCCTAGACCACCACAGGATCTAGAGGGAATAGCAGGATCTTTCTCCTATCTTTGTGTCATCCCCAGCACCACTTAACAGACTTTTGTTAGATTTATTTCTTATGTTTGCGAACTCCCACTCGTCTTGTAAATTGGCGCAAGGTCTTTTCTTTCAGCTTCCTTTTTTCCATTTTCCAACTTCTATCATTCACAGCTGTGATGTGATCTTAAAGATTAGTTTGATTCCTACCTGGGGAACTTCATAATCAGCCTGAAGTTTTCCTGATGCTAATCCACTCAGCAGGACTATTTCATTTTCCTTTGGTGGCTGTACGTTCATTGAACTGATGAGTTTGGGGAGATTTGGAGAGACGCTGATCAACCTCTGTAGTATGAAAGAGATTTTTCTCTCAGGTAATGAAGTCTGAGTTGCACATTTATATTCATAAATATCGAAATGAAATACCACTTATAGGCATCCCTTTAGAAAGCTTGAACTTACTACTCTGAGTCGATTAAAAATAGAGCTGGCAGCATTAAAATGCATATTCTTTCTTTTGAGCCACCATGAAAGACAACAGTGACAGTATAAGCTTCTGCACAACTGTCCAGAAGGACAATCTGTCATCCCTTACATTGACATGTGCTAAACATATTGATTGTATTTGTGCACCTAAATGCTTGGCCTTCCTATTACAAGTGAGTTCCTAAGAGACTGAGAGCACTGTGTCTGTTATTGTCTAAACCAGAAAAGATTCAGTAAGTATGGTAATGAGAACAGGCAAATCTTCCAGTTTTCCTCTAGGCATATGACAAGCAAGAAACAAAAGTGAAAGTTAGCTGGAAATTGCTGATCAAATTGATGCAATAGTAAACCTGGAATAACAGAAGTATTTAATAAACAGATGACAAATGCATTTCTTCGCTGTTCCACTGGACACCCTCATGACCTTTCATTTGTAATGATTCTACCTGTTATGTATTTGCTAGAGCCAAAAGTGGCAATAGTCACAACATCAATGATGCTATATAACGTAGGGGATTTGTGCTGCGATACTGCTAGGAGTCCCCAGTGTGTGCAGGAGACCTCTGTGCTCATTCGCGTACAAAGGCCAGACCAAAAGGACAATCCCTACTCTGAGAGTGCTTGCAATTCTTTTCTGCCAAGGATCTCACTGTGCTTGCTTTATGAACAGGGAATCAAGGATGACTCCTTACAGAGGGAGTAACTACCACCTCCTTTTTGTGCACTAACACAGGCCATTAAATGGCAAGGCCATTAAGAGAATGCAGGTCACAGGCACCCAGCCATATGCGGTAGTTACTATGCAGTTCAAAGATACTTCACTTTTTCCTTTTCATCTTCAAAATAATAACCTTGCAGTACTGTTATATTTCCTCAGAGTGAATTAGATAGAGTAAAACTTTCTGGCTTAGCAAACCTAATTCAATTTTGGGGAACAAATCACTTTTCAGTAGACTGATCTTCAAATGTGGCAAAGTATTTATATTTGACATAACTAAATTGAGTGCTTCAATTCAGTTTGACATTTCAGTATAGGACAAAAAAGTTATTATCCTTTTCTTTTTTCAAATTATAACCTTTCTCTTATCACATGCATTTCTCTACGTACATCTATTTTTCTACTGCCTAAATTACCACATTTTATCAGATTTCTTAGGTAAGAAATCATGGTATTGTGTATATCTTTTCCTTCAGTGCCTTATCTTTTGTTCAGAATAAAAAAGGAAAAGTCTGGAAAGATGATTATTTTACACCAAAAAACCCTAATTTAACCCATTCCAAAGTTCAAGGGGTAATGCAAAATCCTAACAGTACCTATTAGTGATTAGTTATATATTTCATCTGAACAACAGCTATGCTAACATCTTTAAAATTCTTCTATGTAATGCTTTCACTACAGCAGCATGTTGTATAAAAATCCACCCCTCAGAGCCAATTTACAGAAACAGCATATTATACATAAAAATCGTGACAAGCGAGCTTCCTCTTAGAGAAGAATACACAGTAACTGTGCTAGCAGTGAATTTTTAGTATCTGCACTGAAAACTAAGAGAGAATTATCATCTTCCAGTCATTGCTTAGAAACGTGTTGGCTCTGCACCAGGAAATACCTTTCTAAAATGTGGCCAGGCGTTGCTGTGTCTCCATTACCAGTCCTGCCCCTGCCAGGTGGGGAGTGCCGGCTGTGGACATGTCGGGGTGCAGCACTTTGGGGAGCCAGCGGGGCTCTGCTGTGAAGGAAGAGCTGCAGGTTGTGCGAAGCGCAGGGGCAGTGAATGCACCACTGCTCTAGGGCTGATCAATACAAATCATGCAGCTGCTTTCAAAGGTGATTTGTGCTTGTGAGGGAGCAATATAATCTCCATGCGTTGTAAAGGGTAGCTGCATAAAGCTAGTTTCAGTTGGCTTTCACAGGTGTCTAGCTTTAAGAATGAGAGAGAACTTTTGGTATTTCCCTATAGATTTGCTATAGCTTTTATCCCTTAATAAACACTGTAAACAACAACAAAACCACTGATTATTAGAAAACAGCCAGTGCTTCTATGGATTCAGTAAAGTTAAACCTCTTGAGCTATTCTAAACAGTTAACCTGCTGATTCAATAGAAAAATAATTCTGCTGCAAGAAGCTGTATTTATTTTTGACATCTGAAATTTTACAGATCCGGGATGCAGAAAACAGCATAGAAAAACATTTCCTGCTAATGAATGACTTGCCGGAGGCAACAAGGTTCCCAGTATTGGTTGTCCTCTCGTGAGCTAAAAGTGGTTTCAGCAAACTAACTAATGCTTTACTGAGGAACTCCCAGGATATTGTTCAGGAGATCCTACCTTTTTTCACTTACCCCATATTGCTACCATATTGCTGTGTTGATCATAGGCACCAAGCCAGGATGATGAAAATGAACTGATAAAGGAAGATGTAAACTCAAAACTGACACCAGGCCATATCTTTAAAATGTGACTTCCTCGGATTTGAGTTTTTTTTGGAATAGGATATATTTTAAATAGAATATCACAATGTATTTTATCTTAGTGTTTGTAAAATAACCAAGTTTTGTTTTGTTTTGTTTTTAAATCCTTTTTTTTTCCTACTGTCCGCACTTCCAGTTAAACAGGTAAACGACTCCTTTGGTTCTGTTTTATCTAGACCCTTCCTCAAGATCACATAATCAAACTACCTAGGGTTTCACTAAAACTGGTCAGCTGAACAAGATCTAAATGAGTAGAAGATTTTTCAAAGGCTTTTTGGCAGTAGGAGAGAGAGACATCAGAAATTATTTTAGTGTAGTATTATGTCAAGAAATTGGATGTATGACATGTTTGTGTTCACTTCTCTGATAAAAGGCTGAGTAAGATGTCCACTCACATGATAACTGCTGAGAATTCACAGGCTGCAACAATCCTTTAGATCTTTCTGGGATGGGAGTAAGGAAAGCTATAAAATATGGCCTGGTGTTGAGATAACTTTAGATTCCTGATGCATTGTTTTCTGTAAGACTTAAAATCTAGGGCTGGCTTTGATTTGTCCATAGAATTTTGACCTGGGTTTGTATTGGAGCGTCCTGGTGTACCTGCCTAGACCCACTGTGCACGCTACTAAGTCCTAAACTGTTACCTGTTTCACTTGCTCATCGCTGCAATCATCTCTGTTTGCATCTAAATTCACAAAACAAACCTGTAATAAGAAAGAAAAAGAAACAGTAACTTATGAAGTCATATTAATGGCAGCAATCTTTTAAAAGTCCATATATGTTCCTTCTCTAGCCTTGTAGCTGAATATATGAAGTCTTTTCCTAGAATAAGAAAGGTTGAAAGGTCAACAAAGAGAATAGCAGAGTAGAAAAGAGAAAAAAGGAACAAAACTAAGCATCATGGCTTTATCCGCTCTGACAAATAGCTTTTCTGATGAATAGGCAAATGTTGTCAAAGAACTTTAATACAGATGATATTAGAAAAGATAGAGGAAATGTTAAAAAATGCATTTGTATATCAGAGAAACTCTTAATGTCTTTTCCAATGATTTCTTCTTTTCAGGGACTTGTTGCTAAATGTTTCATAAGTGCAAGTATTGATATATGCATATATTGTGAGTTGCTTTCAGAGTTTTCTCCACATCACATAAATATTGTAATTGTAGTGTTTTTTCCTAACTTTCCAAACTTCCTAAGTAGAAGTTTAAGACTTTATGGAAATAACATTTTTTTAACCTTGGTTCATGAACCAATGTGCAAGCAGAAGTTTTCAGCAGTGCTAACCAGGCAGCTTACTATCTAGTAAGTTTACATGTGATTCAGAGGAAAGTACTTTTAATGACAAGGTCTTTTGCCTCTTCTTTGATCGTTATGATTCAGCAGTCATTTAATGGTAGCGACATTGACTTAAACAGAAATTTTAGATCTAAAGACCATTTCATTTCCGAACACTTACACTTTTTTTTTTTTTCTTTTATATGACTGGAAGGCCTTTTACTAATTTTCAGAAATAAGAAAATACTTCCTCCAGCTTTATTCTGAGTTAGAAGCAGGAACTCCAAAGCTAGGCTGACTGTCCTACTTCTGAGTGCTGTGGATATCTCTTTAGAAGTTTGTGAGAGTTTGGTGTTGTCTTGATGTAAACCAAAACCTGGCACAGGCTCAGCGCTGAGCTACAGCCAACACCTGATTCCAAATAAATTGCAGATCTGGAATTTACATTCTGAGAGATGAGTGATTTTTTTTTTTTTTTTTTTTCCTCCTTTTCCAGCAATTTCCCTTATTCTATGTAAATTTTCCCTAGAAAAAAAAAATGCTGTAAATTAATCCCTTTCACCTATATTATTGTGTTTGGCATCCGAGCTCCTGTTGTGTGCCTGCTTTTACCCCAAGACAACATCAATTTCAGTTTATATATGAACATACCATATGTACAGATTATGACCATCTGCAGTAACAGCCAGCACAGCAGATGGAAAGATCCAGCCAGACCTCCCACTGTAAACCAAAAAAACCCCACTGAGAAAGAAAGCTTTTTGCCCTTTTAAATTGTTTAATGGTATCTTTGTATGAACTTAAAAACATATTTTCTAACATTTTTAGAATTTTAGGAAAAATATTTCTCTTCCTGACAGTGTCAACAATCAAGACATGCAACTGTCTGCATTTTATGGCTGGCTAACTTTTAAGAAATAATTATAAAAATTTCTAATTATAAACTGTTAAAAATTATCCTCTAGCAATATAATGTGGTAGTTATGGAATGTCCTAAACATGTTACAGTTAATTATACAGACAATATGTTTTCTTAATTTCCACTGGGATTTTACATGTAGGCATTTTACATATCAGCAATAGGTAGTTATTACAAAGCATTAGAAAATTAAGCCCTTGATTCTCACGCGTACTTGCCTAGTGCCTGCAGTGATGTGTGGTTATGAGTCCGCAGGTGCACAGAGGTGCATTTGCTTAGGTGACCATCAATTTGGCAACTAGGGAGGAGTGCTGGAAGGCATGGATCCGGTTTCTAGTCCGCACAAGTGTGTTCACAACTGTACTGAAGGTAGGGCTGTTACTTAGGAGCTCTGTTCCCAAGCCCCCATGCTGGGTGAGGTGGTACGCTCTAGTTTTGCACTGGGTTCAGTGTGAAAGCTTTGTGAAAAAGCTGCATAGGAGCAGTTGTGTCGGCATGTGCACGCCAGCCAAACACTTGACTCTCTGGTAAATCCTGTTTTGTTGTTTGCTACCTCTGTGTTGGTACAATAGTACATGTCTTTGCTGTGTTATACGCTGGCACTACTACCATCCTAAAGGTATGCCCTTTCTGAGTAGCTAAAAAATCATCATCTCTATTTCATGTGGCATGAATGTTATATAACTCACTAATGCCTCATTAGTAGAAATAACAGTATAAGCAGGAATATCTATTATTTAAAGTCATATGCTATTTCTTTCATCTATTTTTATTTTTTTTTTAATTTTATTTTGAGATCCCAATGAACTTAAAACCTACAGAAGAAGTGGATCCAGTTTCCAAATACACTCGTCAAATTTCATTGACATTGATTTATTACACTGCCAATGCAGTCTCTTAGCATTTTTCTGCTCTGTGGATTTTGCAGTTTTAATTATAGCTAACTTTCACACAAAAATAGTTTTGCACTGGTGAAAGACACTGAAGAACTCACTTTTTCTGTTTTGCTGTTTGCTTTGAGATGAGCCCTGCTTTGAGCAGAGGGTGGGACTAGATGGTTACTATAATCCTAAATTAATTTTACAACTCCATCCTGCCAGGCTCTGCATTACTGTTCCCTTCTAGGAAGTTCACTGTGAGGATAGTTTCCTTGGAGATACTTCACTAGAGGTGTTCAAAGAGTAAAAGATCCCATCTGAAAAATCTCTCATTGTTTTCTGCTTATATAATATCATATTTAATCTTTCACTAGTTTGCACTGCTTGATGAACTTCTAGTAAATATCAGGGACACTTCCATCAAAACAAGGCAAAACAACACTACAAAATAATTCATAATCTGTAGGAGCAAAATATTGTATAGATTATGAAGAAAGAGCCAAGGTCAGGGCAGCATTTGTTAACCTCAGTTTAATTCTGACTTTTTTCCTTTGGATCAGATGCAGGTTGATGGATTTTAGCCTAGTTTAACTAGAACCTAACCTTGTCCAAACTGTACTATCTTTAAATGTCAATCCTTTCCCATTTACTTCTTTAAACTTCACACCCTTGTCTTCCCACAAACGTCTTTTCACTTACAAAATGTGTCTGCTGTCCACTCATATTGAGCTACTCTGGAAACCATGCAGAAACGTCAAGATATTGCCTTTTTTTTTTTTTTTTTTTTCTGGCTTAGGAAATATTTATTTTGGGGGGAGAAACCAACAACATTTAAATGTTGTTATATAATACAAAGAGGAAAAAAAAACCCTACCAATCAAATTCTGGCTTTACATAGTGAGATAGTCACCTACAACTTCCCTGTTAGGTGCTAATATTTACTTTTGGTTCAGTAGTGTTTTCAGTGTAGAAAACCTGCTTGCTCAAGTGAGAACAATACTTTTCTTTTGGTGAACATGTACCACTGCACTCAAATCTAGTCTCAATACGTGCAGAAAGCAGTATGCTACATATCCAGAAACCATTTAACACATTGATCACATGGTAAGTAGAAACCCTTTTACTATGGAGATTCTTGCACTTGAATAACACAATTGGGGTCTGACCCCCAAGCCTCCTCTTCCTAAAACTCTCCAAGCATTTCTACTAGGACAGTACCAGACAGATTTGCTGAGCTTTGATCTTGAAGAAGCCTTTACTTTCCAGGATTATAGAAAAACCTAATAGAGAAACTTTTTTTTTTTTTTTTTTTTTTTTTTTCCCTATTTTGCTTGATAATTTCTGTGACTGGTAAGAGCTGTATGGAATAAATTCTCTAGATCAACAATTTCAAGTCCTGAAATCTACTCTTCAGGTGGTGTAGAAACTATGCAGACACCTCAGCATCTACTGTCTGCAAATTAAAACTATTACTTCTTAAAATAACTACATGTTAAGAAATTTGTTTATAAAGCACTTAAGGATATAATGCACTATACACACAATATATTTGCAACATTGATAGACAGCCTCAGGGAATCACTAAAAGCATAACACTGTTCTCACTTCAGAAGAGCGAAGCAATTTCAGGTTTTTTTTTCAGAGTACTGATGCTGGCAAACAGCTAAATGACAAACAAAGAAATATATTATTGTCTATTTTTTTGTTATTTCTTTCGTTTTAGCTTATATTAACCAAGGTTGGTATTGCTAGCATTTTAATATTCTCTAGATAAAAAATGGTAAGGTGGTAAGAAAGAAACATTGTCTCAGAGGTATAATACTAAAAACAATAATTAGAAAAAAAAACAACCTGTATTTTTCCTAAGTGTCTGTTCTAGGGTGAAGTCTATTTCAGTTCTGTACTGTTTGTCCCAGATAAGAGATTGACAAACTAATATTTCTGTTTTGGGAAGTGCTAATGCCTCTTTCTATTGTTTGTATCAATGCCTGACAGTAAAGAAAGGCTTTTTCTTTGTCCTATGAACTATCTTATACCTTTTGGTGAGATTAAAATGAGCCCTAGCTTGTGGGGTTTTTATTAAGATAGTATTCAAAAAAAAAAAAAAAATTAAGAAGAAAATCTGTTTGTTTTCCAATCCTTTTCTATGTCAAAATACTAACTCAGCAGAGATGTTTGAAGGCTGGGCTCATCCTGCCACAACAGTAGTAGCTTCTTGCACAGTGCTGTAATGTCCAGGAGCTGCTAGCAGCTTTTGAGATGAGAAACAGCTTTGAGATGCTTGGTCCTTTTTCCCCCATGAAGCATGACTTCTTCCAGCTGCTTCTTAGGGAAGAAGCTGAACTGAAAATCCATTATATTCTTCCCTCTCACTGGGACAAAAGCTGTCCCTTGCACCTAACTGATATAATTACTCTACGAAGTGAATTGAGAGCCATAGTCTTGTGTTCTGTGCTGTAAAGGACTGTGATCAACACTTGTTTAAAGTGCTGCAGGAGGTGTTTATTTTTTCACCCATAAAATCCAAATCCATATGCATGACATACCATCCTCCCAAATAAATTTCAATTTCTGTTTTAAAAGAAAGGAATTTAAACTGAAGAGACAAGAGTTGAAAATTAGAACTATATAC